GAAGCAAGTGTCCGCTAGCCACCGTACTTGATAGAATTGCAAGCCGCCCTCTGTAGAAGTGCGCGTACTTTGATGAGTTTGTAGAGGGTGGGGCGTACTTGCTACTTGCTTCGGTTGTAAGAAGTGGCATGTGGAGGGAGGCGTGGGAGAAAATTTGCCGTTTTAGCGCGCGTATATCCCCCCGTCGAGGTATTTTTGGAGGAAAAAGTGGGCGGGGTTTTGATGGAAGATGGAGATGGTGGAGGAGGTGGGAAAAGGGGGTCGTATCAAATCCACCTTGGGGGAGGGGGGTCGTAAAAATTTTTCGAAAAGTAACAACGATAGGACCGACCCTGCCCCAAGCCCTGAAGCAGCCGCTGGAAACCACTTGAGTGCGCAAAGGTTAAGTCAATTATTTAAACTTCACCAGCGATTTCAATCTGCACACGGAGATGGTTGAATACTGCCCTGTTAATCAATGTTCTTCTTTTTCCTATCTAGCAGTCTTTCTAGAGCAAAGAATCCGATCAAAAGTACGCGTGCCTGGCGAACACCGGCTGAGGGTAATTGTTATTGTGGTGAGGAGATTCAGGTTTCCTTCAGCATGTCAAAAGCGATACCGCCCATGAAATATTTCTTGAGAAATGTACCGTACCCATTCAGGCATGCTTACGAGGTCATGGATACATTTTTCTCTGTTACTTTCCTTTCGCCCTCCTTTCCGTGAAAATCATAAGCTCTCTCTAATATCTCTATATCTCTATAAGCTAATATCTCTAAAACTGCAATCAGAAAAACTCATTTACCCAGTTGTTGAATTTCTTGGTACTGCTTCATAGTCCTAAAAATTTGCGCGCCTCCATAATGCGGAGCTGATGGCTCACTCTTGGGTAGGTTTGGTCTGAGAAAAACGCTGCTTTGGCTGGCCCACGAAAATTAGTAGAACAAAAAGCGAAGCAAATGCCATTAGGATTCTGAAACCAATGCGAATATGTAGCGCGTTTCAAGAAGGGATCAACCCAGTGCTCAAAGCAACACCAAGCAGCAGAAGATTTGTCGAAGATCTATTAAGTAAGTGGGATAGAGTAGCTAAAAAGTAACACAAATGTGCCGTTGTCGCGCTTGAAAGTGCGCGACAATGGCGCTAGGGTCTTACAAAGTCAGACTTATGGCGACTAATCTTAGCATTATGGACGAGTTACGTCGCGCACACCCCATGATACGCGCGGATTACGGCGTAGCGCCTAATTCAAATACGTTCCGCTTAGTGGAGCCGTTTAGCAAGCAAGTTCGTACAACTCGTCCGACCCCGCCCCTTCCTGTACTCACTTATCGACCATATTACCCCACAAATCCCATCTGGAGGTGTTGCTTTAATTTTTAACAAGTGGCCTGCCCTTATCTCTCACCTCTGTAGCAGCGATTCTCTTCGTTATCAGGGCAATAGGCATCCATCGCATTTGCAGCTCAATCAGAAATGTAGGAAGTCGAAATAAAAGTGCCATCAAAAATACTGATAACAACATACAGTGAGCTCGAGCGACTGTATCGCTCATGCGCGACGCCATTGGCCGAGAGATCTGAAGAAAAAATATTCGAATAGAATGTAGTGCAGCTCCTTCGTAAATGGATTGGATTTTTTGTGAAAGACCCGCTCAGAGTGCTCTCTCTTATCTACTGTTTCACTTAGAGCATTCTTAAACACTAATGATGTCTGTCGTTGAAATCACTTCACGATTAAACTATGTAGATTACTATGCTGCGTAGGATTTAAAGCTGCACGAAGCGGGTTTAGCAATGACTACAGCAGACTTCAGCTCCAATGCCTCACGCAGCTTCTCTGCTTCGGAATGTCTATGCTCTCCATCATTCGCCATGCTGTCTCGTGTCCTATGGCCGTTCCCCTTCCTCGGCGTACAGATTTTTCTTGGACTCATTTTTTTTCATTTTTCTTCATTGGCGGTCACTTGGGTTATCTCATGTTCACAGCTAAGGGGGAAGTTCACGATAGCATGGCAACTCATCAGAAATCAATAGAGAGGTGACCAGCGGTGCAGGGATAAGGACAATATATGAAAAGCGGTCCAGAATCTAATGGCAAATGGCAGCACTTCTTTGCTCTCGATTTCCACACTGTTGCGAGTCTCACCGGCGCTGCTCTTTTCCTCTCTCTGCTGAACGGCTAGAGTCAGACGGACGAGGGGCTACCAATCGATGATATGCAGCGGTGGGGGCATACTCTTTGTTGCGAAAGGCCAGGTTAAGGAGACCACTATGCGCATACTCTTCTTTCCCATCCAGCATTCTCGAGAGACCCGCCTGCCTTTCGACTGGGTAAATTACCATTTTTTTGACCTGCTACCTTATCGTAGACTCTTTCTTGAAGTGGAATGATCATATCAATATCATAGCGACACGTGCATTCAGACTCGAAGACATTACCTTCCAATAGCGATGAGCAGAAAGGGCAGCAATAGTCCATACATGCATTGTATTTACAGTTGCTTCGATCCTAGAACATTTTCGTCATTACTGAGTTTCAGAGATGAGCGGAGATCAGGGTCAACCCTACGTTGTTACGAGTAACAACGGGGGGGGGTCGTACCCACTTTAGTCGCTCGAAATCACGTGTGGGATTGAGGTGAAACTAAGATTTCGTGGGTAGTAGGCTGGGCGAGAGTATAGGTAAAAAATGGGTTGAAATGGTGGAAATAGAAGGAAATTTTCGGAGATATTTACCGTTTCAGAGTGACTATATACCCCCGCTCGACGGCATTTTTGGAGGAAAAAGTGGGCGGGGTTTTGATGGAAGATGGAGATGGTGGAGGTAGGGAAAAGGGGGTCGTATCAAATCCACCGTTGGGGGAGGGGGGTCGTAAAAAATTTTCGAAAAGTAACAACGATAGGACAGACCCTGGTGGAGATCCTCGTGCATGAAATTCAAACGCACCTTGGCATAGTGTGCTTCAAGAACCGTCTCTCAAACATACAAAAGCCGTAAAGCGTATGATTACTAGAATGGTGTAGATCACAAAACTGTGGAACAGCAATGGTAGCGGCAGTCATCAGAAGTTGAGCATGATCCAAAATTAGCAGCGCCTTGAGATATACAAACACTCCAGAAGAGATCTTAGGCGGCCGATATAAAAATATCTGGAATTGAGATATTTTAGTGAAGAACAGAAATAGTTGCCACTTTTTCCCCCGGTAGGAGCGCATAGTCTTGATTCGAGAAGACCTCCATTCTTGGAGAGAAGCCAGCAGGGTGAATATTGCTTGAGGATTCCTCAACGGCACGTCGAGGATTTTCGCCTGATCCTTTACGTTCTCGCGCGCGGATATTCACTCTCGCCACCCGCGAGCCGTCTGTGCTCTCCGCGCGTACATTCACTCTCGGCACTACTCTCGCACAGCAGAGAGCGATGGTCGAGGAATTCCTCGACCGTTATTCACCCTGAAAGCCAGTAATCGTGAGCAACTGTACACTTACCAGTGCGCTTGCGTTGAAGATGATACCCAGAGCTGCTACTGGCAATAGAATGTAAATATTCAGCTTTCTTAACTCAAAATACAAAGTGTGGTCATGGATACGAGGTTCATGATAGCAGGCAGGAGAATGAGACCAGGAGGCCAACAGCGACGAGTCGCTCATCTGTAACATGTCACCATAATAGTGTTTATAGACACCAACAGTATAGACTCTGTTCAGCTCGCTCGTATTACTTCTACAGTATTCGCAAGACAGGCGTGTGATTGGTGGATTATCCGCGACGACCAATCATAAACGCATAAAACCACACGCGGACGACCTCTCCACCTTACAACGGACGTAGTCTCGAAGCAATGGTTAATTTGAGCCTACAGTTAGTTTCAAATGTAGCATGAAGATTTCGAGTGGGCAAATCAAAGCGATAATAGCATAAAGAACGAACAAAGTGAGCAGAAGTGAACAATGATCCAGCACATATAGAAACGAGAGCGTGATTGGTGAATCATAAGCGTCGACCAATCATGCATGAGCTCATACAAAATATTAGGTTGTCGGCAGTCTTTGTACATTACTTTTTCATGCTGCAATCTTTGCGGAGCTTTTTGAAGCATTCGCTATGAAACGTATGTAAATGATGGTTAGTGCCTTCTTCAGAGCATTTTTCGATTTGGAAAATAGCTGGAAAAATCGTCTCTCACTGAAAGCTCGACTGTTGCTGCTTCTCCAGACCCAGACCAGAAAGCACGTCAGTGAATGCGTTAAAAAGCGGTAGTGTTGCAGTGGAACTTACATCGCATAAAACAATGTAGGAATTGGGGAACGATCTTCCACATTAGTGCTTTGTCGCGGCACGCTATCAAATTTTTTGGATTTTCCAACAACTTCCGTATAACCTGGCTCTACAAACCATATACGTCCAGATTGGGCAGACACTCTCCAGTCGCCTACGCAGCGAGGTTGCCTCAAATAGAACATTGCTTGCACGAAGTGGTCACCTCTCCCCGGTGCGCCCAGCGTGCAACGTCTGTTCCAATCACTTTCTAATATTCGCCAAGCTTCGCTTTATCGTCTAGCAATGAGCTTTTTGAACTTCTCCTCTCGCTAAGCACATTATTGCGATCTTAAAGGCAGTCGCATCGTTTAATTATCCTTGACTATTCCGCTACTTTCGAGTTGGGGTGTTGTATTTAAAGCGTAGAGAAAAGAAAGTCATGGCCAACTTGCCACCGAGCTTAGCGCATTCAAAGCTCTGGAAAAGTTAATAAAAAAAAACGAAATATTCTGGAAGCAAAAGCGCTAAGCTAAACGGATTGATTAAAGCAGGAAAGCTCCCCAAATGCTGGTTCGATACCGATGACAGTTCCTCTGGTTTCACCGGAAAAGAGGATCCAAATAAGAAAAATCGTCGGGAAAACGAGCAGAATTTTCTGAACGCCTAATATAAGACGAAAATGAGGCAAAAAAAAGACATTTTGCCTATGTCGGACTTCGGCTTCTTTTTCTTCGCAGAGATTGCTGTCGTTGACGGGAGTTCCTCAGCAGAGTATTTCCTAAGTGTCCCTTATAAGTAAACGAAGGCCCTCCTTATTCATGCCCTCACGTCTTGTCAGATGTAAGCTCTTACGCAATTTCGTGAATCGATTTAATGTTGGATAGTTTTCTAGAGGCATTAGCTCCCACTATGCAAATCCCCTCGGAAACTAGCTTTCCAGTAAAGGTCGTTATGGTACACGATCCTTCGAAGACCCCATTGAGCTCGACCAGTGCACCATGTTTCCAGGGCAAATTCTTCTGATGCCGTCCACGTAGGTGGCCACTATGAAGATTTTCTTATAGAATGAAATGCGCTCTTCAATATAAGTTGGGACCATTCGGTCTGAATTGAGCAAAGTGTGCTTAAATCCATCTGGAAGTGGAGACAAAATGTCTTTTTTTATGCCCCCCCCCTGTATATACATTTGAGAAAAAACATTCAAATGGAAAACAATAGTGTTGCACGACCGTTTGGCGACCATTTTTGACCGCTACTGCAAATATCGGGAAAAACAGTGGAGACCTCGAAAACATCTTTGAAACTGATGTAAAAATAGCGCTGCAATCCAATGCTCTGTCCATGAATCAGAGATTGATGGAGAGTGACCAAATGCATGGTCGTCTCAAATTTCATGCCCTTCAGGGTATCAATTGTGGTAATGTGAAGAAATCGAAGCCGATAGACAGCATTTACTTGGAATGTCCGCAGTCAAACATCACCATGTGGTTTGATCGAGTTTTAGTGAAAACATTGACTCCACTGTGTCCTCCGTCAAGTAAACCATTCCCTACCCATTTTCATTTACTACGTGTGGGGGACGCAACTCAGGAAAACATCAACATGTTAGCATTCCCGGGACTTTCTTGAGTGGAAACAAATGAGCTGCACCAATAAAGAAATCAATCAGAGGTGAGCAATAACTCCAAGATATGCCACTCATATAGCTCGCTTTCAGAACCGTACGATGTTGGATGGGTATTATCCCAGGCAAATATTTAGATCCACTGAATCCTAAAGGGATAATTGTTTTCCAGGATAAGCACGATTCTGGAAACCTCGTACTACGACAACGTTTTACCCAGCATAGTGAGGATAAAGGGTAAAGCTTAATCACGTTCCTACGACATACGAAAAGTGAATAACAAAAGTCAGTTTATTGGACCTAAGTCTAGGACTTTAAGCCTTGAGTCACTTGCTTATACCCAAGTGAACATTACGTCTAATGTGATGTCAAATTCTCCGCAAGGCCAATTCTTCTGTTGGGTCAAATTTTGTGTCGCGTATTCCACCCTCCTTTCCTGGTGGAAATTTACCATATGACCTCCATCTGGGGGTTTATAGATTAGAAGCCTAACAGGGGGTGAGGGGGGGGGGGTAGAAAGGAAAAGAGACGGTCACAAAATTTCGGAACGTTTTTCTGCATTTTCAAAAGAATAAACCCTCCCTCTGTCATTAAAAAAACCCTCCACCTTTAGTCTCGAAAAGTGTAAGCCACTTCATCGAAAATTGACGCCCACTAAGGGAATTATCCCGCGAGATGATTCGCTCTGGTTCATCGCTCTAAAGAAATTTCACTGCTCGAGAAAGCGCAAGGTGTGTGGATCATGTTAGGGTTGCAACAGAGGGGCCACTCCTTGTCAAATAGACAATTCGTAACCAATTTGTTACAACGAAGATCACCACTATAGCCTGATGCAAAATCGAATTCGTGGAGCAACAAGCAAGGCTGATCAATGTTGAGCGTTGGTTTCTTCTTTAGCAAGCGTCCCCTAGAGAAGCTTAACTCCTTTTTGAGGGCACCAATAGTGATATAAATACTTTGAGAATAGTAGTGTAACATTCGCAAGAATGCTTTTCAAGATTCCCTATTGTCATTGGATTTTAGCACAATAACATGACGATGTTTCATCGCGAAAAGATCAAGAATGTTAAAGAAGACGAAATGGAGTTCAACCAAGAGGTGAAATGAATACTGAGCTATCGCAATATACGGGGGCAGTGCGTTGACAATGCACTTGAACCGCGTGAAATATATCCTTTTTGATGAAATCGAGCCTTAGATGGGATAGGAGAGACCCCGAGTACGTAAACGAATCATCCTTGTTGTTCCTGACCCTCCTGAGCTTATTTCTAGCCGATGTCCCCGTATCTTGCGATAGCCCCGCCTGAATACTGTCTTCGAGTAAGTATACAAACGAGTAGGTAATCCATGTACGACAATAAGTGTTTGGATAGTGACAGGTTAATGACCGACATACACGGCAGAAGTGGTTTTGGTAGCGCGACCTCGCACCCTCCTAGTGGCAGTGATCCGTAAAAGTGGATGAGTTAAGTAAATCTAGTGAATTTACGTGCACATATCAAGCACATCTCTGTATGAACCTGAATCGGTGGAAGAAACAAAGCCACCAAGCACGGCTCCATATGATACCAAATTGGTGAGGTAGTGAAACTACTCGCTGAGTGAATATTGCAAGAGGTTGCCTCTGAGGACAAAGATTAGTGGAACCACTGCATACTAAGAAGCTAAGCGATTGGAGAAATCGAGTACTGAACAAGTTGAGCCAACCCTTCAGAGATCAAAGGTGTAACAGCAGGAATGAAAGTGCATTGTGTAGATGAGGAGCTGATTATCTTTCCATGGCGCGATTCACACCGGACTTCCATTCAAGGTGCAGCGGTTGTAAGACGCGTGCTTGGTAAAAGTCAGTTTTTGAGTGCCCTGACAAGCTTGGTACCCACCAACCGAGTCCAGTGAGGTAAATGAGATGATTGAGCAGATCGAATTTGTATTCTGAATTTTACAGTTCGATTGGTAAGTAGCGTCATTAGCCATTACCATCAGTCGGTATCAATGAATTTGTAAGTGCTAGGAAATCGACACGCAATTCGCAGCGTTGAATATGGCCTCGGCGATCTGGCCGTCTCGCGCCGCTACCGCCGCGGAACGCCTAGAGACTGGCTAATCACTCGCCGCGTCTCGAGCTGTTCTGCAGAGAGAGAGAGAGAGAGAGAGCGTTAGCGTGTAAGAGGGCGACACCATTAGCAATCGCATCAATGCGGAGAACGAGGAAGAAAAATTCCTGTTTCTAATTGGTTGTTCTTCATCACGGCAGCAGTGACCACTTTCGTCGGTTCAAGTGGAAAAATTTCCTTGAAAAAGTACAGATATTTCATCGGAAGTTGAAACAGCAGGATTGAGCGCCGCCTTTTGGGGACCATGGGTTTCCCGTAACCAGCAAAGCTTGCTAGAAGGTTTGCAGGTTCATTAACCAAATATCGAAAAATAAAATTCAGGGTATAACTGCATGTTCAAATATGGAACTTCTTAATAAAATTTGTATTCATACATTACGCATGACTAGAGCGTCAAGAAAATAGAATACAGAGATAAAACCAAATACAATAAAGAACCAAATAAAAAACAATTAAGCTATGAAATATGAAACAGAAATATTAGAGAAAAACACGTGGAGCCATCTAAACGGTACATCTCTTCCACACATAGAAAAACGTAACTCTACGGGTCATGCTCACCCAAACAGCAAGAGAATTTTGAACATATTATATTTGCAGCACGAAAGGACACCAGAAAAAGAACATACAGAATGCACTACAGATCCTCACC